ATGCGGTCAACCATGTGCTCACAGTCTTGCAGGTGCGCAAGCCTACAATACATCCCAAGCCGGCGAGCCAGTAGAACTGCCGTGCGAGATGTGTGTGTCCCGCTTCACTTTTGTTTGACCCGCGCGGTCGCTGCAGAGGATATACAGAGCACGTGACTGAAAGCTCAATGCTGCAACAGATCATGAAGACAAACCATGCATGGGTGCTTGATTATTATTGTGCACTTTATGGGCCAACATGTGGTTGCATGAGCCTTGCAAAAAGTGCAGTCACATCACTCCTCTCCAAAGTGATTCAGTAATCTCACTCGGCCGCGTCAGCGGTTCGGCACCTCTTGGCCGGGGCGTGCACCTTGGTCTTGCCGGGCGACTGCTCCAGCAGGGCCACCTCGGCCTTGCGCTTCTCCTTGAAGTACATCAGCCGGTCACCCTCCTTGAGCGCCTTCCCGTTGCGAAAGCAAGGGATCTTGATGCCGGAGTCTGCCCTCAGCCAGTGAAGCTGCAGGTTGGCGAGCTCGCTGTTGTGGGTTAATTGCGCAAACCAAAAGGGTGCCATGAATCCCTGCTCAGACTCCTCCTTCGGGATGATGGTTGGGTTGCTGTGGCATCATCGCCCCAGGAAGTCTGGACGTTGAAGGAGCTGGCAGGGATCTCCTTGAAACCCGCGTGGCTGCCAATCTTGCCAGTGACCGGGATCAAGGTCAGTTCATGCTTCTGGAACTTGCCTGCGCATGCCAAGGATTTGTTTGGCTTGACCTGCGCGTGCAGCTTGGCCCACCCTTCGCCTTCGAACTTGTCACTTTGGGCACGAAGCTCCAGCATAATCTTGGAGGATGTGAGTTGAAGCTGGAAGGAGCTGTTCTGGCTGGGCCAATGCTCATTGAATGCCATGGTTTCAGCAACTGCCTTGGGCACAACGCGCACCCACTCCTGGCTCATGAATGCCGCCAGAAAAACCTTGCACGTGACGCCATCAACCTCCACCCGCACTTTCTCCTTTTGGATGTCTTTGATGACGCCCTGCGTGCGGTCTGCCTTCCTCCGAACATGATCCCCAACCTGATAGCCGAGCTCCTGCAACACAGCAACCGGGTTCTTGAAGGACCCGTCTTCCCGTAGCTCCCGCATAAGCATTGCCTTCGGTGCCGCGCTAGACGAGGCCTGCGCCGTCTCCGTGATCTGAGCTGCTTCTTCCCGCCTTGTAAGGAATCGCATCATCTCCGGTGATGTTCCTCAAAAGGAGAACGAAGTCGTGGCAAATGGCGCGGCTGGAGTCATACTTTTTCTTGTTGGGCAACCTCAGCCCAATGGCCCATGCCGCCAAGGCAATGTCGGACAAGCACAAGGCAACAAACACTCTGGGGTCGTCCAGCAGCTGGGCACTGACATGCCGCGTCAAGGCTCGAAGCTCGGCCATCATGACCGCTTCTGCTTCAAGCACCTTGCTGGCGTTCTCCTGGCTGAACATCTTCGTTGCCACATCTTTGCCACAGCACTGGCGAAAGCATTGCATCCTTACCAGCGTGTGCCGGAAGCGGCCGAGGGCATGGCCGGAAAGCTTGGCCCGGCCATCCTGCGCAAGGACTTGCCACAGGTCGGGCCCCAGCCGCCTGCCAGGCTGGCAGTGCTGTTGCAGGCCAGCGCTTGTTTCTTGATCAGCTGGAAGTCGAGGTGCAAAAACCCATGTTTTTTTTGCGATTTCTGCGGTGCTCGCGCGACCCTCTGCGGGGATCGGCGTGGTCGTGGTTTTTTGCGATTTCTGCGGTGCCCGCGCAACCGGCGTGGTCAAGGTGCAAAAACTCGAGGTTTGTTGCGACTTTTGTTGTTCGATCTGGTCCTCGGGAGTTGTCGCGTGGTTCGCGCGCCTGCTCCCGGAACCGGCGGGTCGCGGGTTCGATTCCTCCCTGGTCCGCGGGTCGGCGTCGCAAGATGCAACTTGCATTTTAAAGCAACTTGCGCAGAGCAACTTGCGCAGAGCAAGTTGCACAGAGCAACTTGCGCAGACCAACTTGCACCGACCAGTTTGCGCAGAGCGCCTTGCCTAGAGCAACTTGCGCAGAGCAACTTGCGCAGAGCAACTTACGCAGAGCAACTTGCACAGAGCAACTTGCACAGAGCACCTTGCCTGGTGCTGTAGCGCTCGTAAGGAAAAAGAACGCATCCTGCAGCGTTGGGCCGACCTCGCTTGCGATGTTCTGCTTTCGGGCCAACCGTGGTCTAGTTTGTTGTACTTACCTGCCATTATGTACCAATAATATCTCCACTTGCTTAAGCGGGCTAACTCTGACCATGGAACTTGTGTAACACACTTGGCAGACTTAGTATGTTCAACCTAACTCGCCTATATATACATTGCGCGCTGCTTCCCAAAGGTTTTATTTGCATCGTTGCACATGTGCTTGTCGTGCAGGGCATTGCTCGCACGCATCAGCGGCAGATCAACATGCTGCAAATGTGGATTGCTGCATGTCATGTGCTCGAGCCTCTTTGTGTTTACGCACGAACTTGCACTCGCTTGCAATGACGTTGGTGTCCATGGCTGCGCGGCGCCAAGTGGAGTCCATGCTGGCGAAGGCCAAGGATGGCAAGAAGTTGGTCTCAAAGGTGCACGGGATTTTGGCAACCTTGCAGTCGGCCCACCTTGTGCGCATGATTCGCATGCAGCCCCAACACCTGGGTGTTCCCCCGTCAAACCGCGACGGGCTCGGAGTCAATGCGGGGGACGTGCGAGACTTGCTGGACTCCACGCGACCGTGGGCTTTTTGCCGGAGCGAGTGAACGCTATCGCTGTGGACGTTCGGCAGTTCAACGCCACACTGGTGGCCAACGCCGGCGGCGCCCTGGGCCACTTGGAGCCGGCGGTGCTCAAGGCCGCCACCCTGTGCGGGTCGCACACGAACTTTGTGCTGCGGATCTGCGAGCAGCAAGTCAAGCACGACAACGCGGCGATTTGCTCGGAGGGCCGCATCTCCTTGGAGAAGATCCGGGCCCGAGATGAGCTGATGTGGCAGGCCATCACCGAAGGGGTGACTTGGAAAATGTCCTCGACAAGGAAGTTGCTCAATAATTTCCTGAATTCCTTCGCCTGCTGCAGCAGTACGGCACACCTCATTGGAGAGGGGCCTTTACGTGCAGGGACCACGCCGATCCCCGCAGAGGGTCGCGCGAGCACCGCAGAAATCGCAAAAAACCTCGGGTTTTTGCACCTCGACCACGCCGATCCCCGCAGAGGGTCGCGGGGAGGGGGGGGGGGGGAGCGGCGAAATCTGAGAAATCCAAAAAACCTCGAGTTTTTGCACCGCGACCAAGCCCGATTCCCCGCAAGAATCGCAACAACCATGGGTTTTTGCACCTCGACCACGCCGATCCCTCCTCGCAGAGGGACGGCGCGGGAACTTTAGAAAACGCAACAAACCATCGGTGAGTTTTGCACCTGCGACGGCATTTTCGCAAGACACGACTCCCCGCAAGGGTCGATTTTCGTGAAGTGTCACACAAGTATCGCGCAACAGAGAGCCGATCGACAGATTCCAAATCGCCAGCATGGATTGCCATTGGAGCCAATACACCGCCTTTCTACAGCCCAACGAATACATATTAACCCTCGCATAAAAGTCAATTGCACTTGATCCTTGCACTTGCAACTGCAGCTAAATCCTTGCTTGTTTCAGGAACCGTGCAAGGAGTCATTGCAAGGAGTCATTGCAAGGAGTCATTGCAAGGAGTCATTGCAAGGAGTCATTGCAAGGAGTCATTGCAAGGAGTCATGCAAGGAGTCATTGCAAGGAGTCATTGCAAGGAGTCATTGCAAGGAGTCATGAGAGCCATTGCAAGTTGCAAGGAGCCAAGTGCATGGAGTCAAGTGCAAGTCGCAAGTGCACGGAGTTAAGTGCAAGTTGCAAGTGCAAGGAGCCAAGTGCAAGGAGCCAAGTGCAAGGAGCCAAGTGCAAGGAGCCAAGTGCATGGAGTCAAGTGCAAGTTGCAAGTGCATGGAGTCAAGTGCAAGTTGCAAGTGCAAGGAGTCAAGTGCAAGTTGCAAGTGCAAGGAGTCAAGTGCAAGTTGCAATCATTGCCATGACTCCTTGCAATGACTCCTTGCAATGACTCCTTGCAATGACTCCTTGCAATGACTCCTTGCAATGACTCCTTGCCCTTGCAATGACTCCTTGCAATGACTCCTTGCAATGACTCCTTGCCATGACTCCTTGCACTTGACTCCTTGCAATGACTCCTTGCAATGACTCCTTGCAATGACTCCTTGCCATGACTCCTTGCCATGACTCCTTGCAATGTCTCCTTGCCATGACTCCTTGCAATGACTCCTTGCAATGACTCCTTGCAATGACTCCTTGCAATGACTCCTTGCAATGACTCCTTGCAATGACTCCTCGCAATGACTTTCATGATGATGATTCCTTGCAATGACTCCTTGCAATGACTCCTTGCAATGACTTTCATGATGCTGATTCCTTGCAATGACACCTTGTAATGACTCTCATGAGAACAACTCAAGTGAACCCAGCGGAAGAACCCTTCGCCATGCTTTCGGGAATAAATACAAGACATTGTAAAGAAGCACGCTCCCTTACTAAAACACACAATTAAATGCCTCATGTAGGAAAGATATAACCTCTGTTAGAGAACTTGTAAACCAACTTGCCATATGTACTATGTTTCTTTTCTTCTTTAAACACATAGTAAAAGGCCCGCCCCTTCAAGTAGAGGGAGCCGGCGGCATGACAGGGTCCTCAGAGCTTGGGGGGCTTTGGAAATTGTCGCAGAAGTTAATTTGGAAAGGTACTCTGGCTTGGCGAGCGCGGTCCTTTTTCTCAACAAACAGGCTGCCGAGAGAGTGTTCGTCCACCCTTTCGGGATGTTATACCCTCTTTGTGTGGTTTCGACGGGGAACCACAAGGAAACCCGAGGCCTTTTCTTTTCGGTAAGGTTTGCCCAAAAGCCAAGCCACCGATTCGAAGACCATGCGATTCGCAGACCGGAAGGTGGCGGCCTTCATGGCCCCGAAAAACGCCACTGTGGCCACCGTGACTGCTGGCGATGCAGCGGTGGAGGCGCGTGTGCCAAACAACATGCCACCACGGCTTTGGAGATAAAGATGATAAAGCAAGGTTTGCAGTGTCACTTGATTTGGACACTGTACTCGTTTCACGTTTCACCGACGGGGGCCGCTTGGAGCATATGAGCCTTGCATAGGCTCTGCCCTTGGCCTTTTGGTGTTCAGGTGCCAGCGCAGCTGCTGCAGCAAGCATCGGCCTTGGCCGCTGGCGGGCCGGTGCTCCTGAGCTTGGCCTCATCACAGGCTGGGTTGATCATGTTTCTGAACTATGAGAGGCGCACGTGCCAAATGTACCGGAACTAGGGGAGCCGCGCCCCAGGAAGCCAGATCGATATGTCAGCCCCTTCACAAATGCACGATGCGAGCACGAGATTCCATCTCAGCGGATCCTTCGCCGGTGTGTTGGGAATTCCTGCTGCCCCCGAGCCGTGGCCTAGGCCTTAGGGCTTTGCCTAGCTTTTTCAAAACCAAACAAACCAATGATGACCGGATTGCGCAGTTTACGGATTAGGTCATGCGGATGGCGGATTATGGTGTTGCCCAGATTTTGCCCATGCTCCAACATACGGTTTTGATCCACAGTTTGCAGCGTTTGTTACGGATTAAGAAGGTTACAAACGAGAACACAGATTCAGCAGGCTACGGATTGCGATGAGGCCCCCGAGAGTGGTAGCGCAGGGTGAAAGCTGGCATCCAGAATGCAATTTGCAAAGTGGCAACGGGTAGCCTTTCGCGTTCAACGGGTTGCATCGGCAGCAACCCAGAACTGAGTGGATCCTTGCAGCAGCTTGCTGCAATCTGAAGTGTCGTTGGGTGCACGGAATGCTTGCTTGTCGGTTGCCTTGCACGTCTGGGCATTTTTCAACGGCAGGAGCATGTTCCTATCAATTTCACAGCCTCTGTTGGTGTGATTTGTTTTCCCGGGCAAGCAGCTGGCCCTGCCTCCGCTTCGAAACCAGCAAAAGTGAACGAAGCTTTCCTCCAGGGCCTAGCGGAGAAGATGTCCGTTGCCAAGGATGTGTCAGGCAGGGAGGTTGAAGCGCCGATCAACATCAGTCCAAGGTGCACTAGGGACGTGTGCATGTACAGAGTGGTTTTTTGGTCACAGGCTGAAATTTTAGATGGGGTTAAAGATGATCAGAAGCCATTGAGACATGGCGGGCCAAGGCCCCAACTTTCTTGGCCATTGGGCCTCCTGTGTCCAGTTGATCGCTGGAAGCGCCTTCATGTCCCGAGGCGTCGAGGCGACCTTGGCCTCAGTTCCGTTGGTCATCGACCTCCGAGACGCGCAGGGCCGGAAGCTGAAGCTGGGCCGCCTGGAGAAGCCCATGCTCCTTGAGCTGCCAGCGACTTCCCTCGCACGGTGTATGTGCGTGCGCGCGTGCGCGCGTGTGTGTGTGTGTGTGTGCGCGCGTGTGCGTGTGTGTCCCCCAAGAAGTGTGGTGTTTCCAAACCGGCGTCCCAAAAAAACACCCACCCAAGAAAGGGCACCGCCAACATCCGCCAAGAGAGTGAGATATGTTTTGTCAGACTGTCAGGCCGCAAGTTTGCCGTCTTGGCCTGGCAAGGCAACGCATCCCTCTGAAGGTTCTTTGCTGGACTCCAGACCATTGTATTTTTGCTATCCAGTTGCTGTTCACCTCTTCCAAGCATATTGTGCGCTGGGTTGCTGGGTTGCTGGGTTTGTTCGAGTCACGGTGGGACGGATGAAAGTTCCTGGGTGTTTGATTCTGTGAAAGCGCGCGCGCAGGCCCAAGCCATCTGGCAGCAAAACGGTTGCGTTTTGCGGTTCACTATCTGCCGAGCACTTGAGCAGCGCCCAAAACCTCCGTGCACATGTTTAGCAAGAGTCGTGTCATATCGACCTGCGCGTAAGCAACAACTCCACGCACGTAAGGTGGCTCAAGTTCAAGCTGGTGGAGTAAGCGAAACACTTCCGTGTTATCGCATTAGCAACAACTCCACGCGCATCAGGTGGCGCAAGCTTTTGGTGTAAGCAAAGCTATACGACTCATTTGGCGCCTACAGATTTGCAAGGTTGGCCAGGGAGAGGGGGTGGGTGACCTTGCTTGTAAGGTGGGCAACATCACTGGATCCACTTGCGCCTATTGGGACGAGGAGAAGGCAGCCTGGGCCTACGATGGCTTGGAAGACATGCCAGGAAGAGAAGATGGCGCGGCAATTTGCCTCACCCATCACCTCAGCATCTTCGCCATGATCGTCAAGGATGTCCAGAAGAATGCTTTTGGGCTCTGGGCCTCCAGCCTTTCGGGTGGCTTTTTCGGAAGGTGTTATTTTGTTGGCTTAACGGAAACGCAAAAAAAACAACTGTCTGGGCCAGATACTGTGCGATATGCCCATTGTGAGAGTGTGTGCTTGATTTGTGTGACCCCGTTGCTGCTGGCCGCAGACAGGACGTGACGGCTGCCCTCGCTTGCAGCACAGCCTCACAGCTGTTGACCCAAGAAGCAGTCAGGAACCTGGCCAGGACGGCGCATAGCTGAGCAAGTTCATGTCCGATTATCAGTCTGTTTCTCTCTCTGTCCGTCCGTATGTCTGTGTGTGTGTGTCCGTCCGTCCGTGCGTCCGTCTGTCTGTCTGTCTGTCTGTCTGTGTCTCTGTCTGTCTGTTTGTCTGTCTGTCTGTGTCTCTGTCTGTCTGTCGGTGTGTCTGTCTGGTCTGTCTGGTCTGTGTGTGGTGTGTGTGTGTGTGTGTACGCGTGTGGTGTGCGTGTGTGGGCGCTGTGTGTTTGTGTGTGTCGTGTGTGTGTCGTGTGTGTGTGTGTGTCATTGTGTGTCATTGTGTGTCATTGTGTGCCGTTGTGTGCCGTTGTGCGTCATTGCGTGGGTTGTGTGTACGGGCGGTGCGCGGGCAGGCGGGCAGGCGGGCGGGCGGGCGGGCATGCGTGTGTGCGTGCGTGTGTGCGTGCGTGCGTACGTACGTGCGTGCATGTGCGGTGCAGGTGCCTGTGCATGTGCCTGTTCCTGTGCCTGTGCCTGTGCCTGTGAGCGTGCATGTGCCTGTGCCTGTGCCTGTGCCTGTGTGTGTGTGTGCGTGCGCGCGTGCGTGCCTGTGTGTGTGTGTGGGTGTGTGGGTGTGTGGGTGTGTGTCTCGCCGGGCCTTCTCCTTGTCTCTCTCTGTGTGAGAGTGATGAAGTTTGCGGTTGTCAGGCGCCAAATAGTGTGTGCGGTTTCCTGGTTGCATGGGGTCCTTGCAAGCAGTTTGAGCACGCGCCGTATCTTTCGCATCTCATTGAATGACTGCGGCAATCAGCTTGGCAACCAAAGTGAGTGTGGCCAGCGGTTTTTGCTTTGAGTCTTTCCTTTAAAACCACCCAAAACTGGGTGAGCCACCAGGACCGAGCGCTACGCCCCTGCGCCTTCGTTCGTATTTCTTGGTGGCATCCTCTTGCGCCTTGGGAGCAAGATAAGCTTAGGCTACTAGCAAGGCCGCCGGTAATAGGCGCGCGTGTGGGATAGCCGCATTTGGCGTTCCAGTTTGCACAACGACGTTGTGCTGGCATTCCGGTTGCTGAACTTGTGCTTTGGGAAAAGCAACTGGGTCTCAGGTGATAATTCCAGCACACGTCATATATTCATGTAGTGAAGCAGCTTGCTTCAAGGGCCTGCGTGACCTGAAGATCGTATCACCCGTGGGGCAAAATTTGGAAAGCGCAGCCCAAACCAAACCACCTAAGTTGATCTTGTAGCGGGGGGGTCACACTTGGGTTTGTTTCTTGACATGTACAGCTCAGGGCAGCTGTGGGCATGGGCTTCGCCTGGCGGTGGGACCGGAAGGCGGAACAGCTTGTGCTGCTGTCCTTTGCAAGATCCGCATTTGGTGTTGTTGTTTCCTCCTTGAAGGGTACGAAACGGCGACGCTAACATTCGTGCTTCAAGTTCGGAGTGGGTGGGGTTGCAACAATGGCTGTCGTTCATTTCATGCCCATGCTTTGGATGGACTCAGCAGTGGGAGGGCCAGCACGTAAAACCGCGTGACTCACATTTGCATTCTTTAGTCTACGCGGGAAGTGGGACCTGGGCGAGCCATACCCCCGACCGAACCATACCCCCAATTCATACCCCCGAAAAATCCAAAAAGGAGTTCGAGAAATTGCTGACCTTGCAAGCCCGCTTGAAGGCCTTAGCTAAGAGCATGCAAGTAGGGCCTGTCCTGCGGGCAATGCGATAAACTGTCTGTCCCCAAGCAGTGTTCTACTCTATCTGCAGTGTTCTACTCTATCTGGCGTTTAGGGTAAGAGCTACAGGTTGGCTCACAGTTCGTCACGCGCCAGCTGACAGTTCGTATGGGCCGGCTTATTGCGACACACGCGCAATTGCATTTCCAAAGCGCGCAGGCTCGCGCGAGCTGCTTGGCTATTTCGGCTGTTTATCCCAAGTGCGCTTTCACTGCTGCGTCAAGGGGTGGACCTGCGCGCTCGGCTTTGGTATGTGTACTGCCGCTCCGCCAAGAAGGCTTGAAAACTCTGTGACGGACATCTTGCCCCTCCTGCTATGCGGTTGAGAGTTTGACCACTAACCAAACCTTTGCTGACTTCGCGCGGGTTGACACGCTCTGCTTCATAGCTTCACATGGCGCGGGCCTGTTCCAAGCGCAAGGGCGCTGCCGCTTGCAGCAGCCCTGCATGATTGCAAGCTTTCTTAGCCATGCTCGCTTTGCGTCTTTCCGTTTGCAAAAATCTTCCCCGCGATTCGTACCCCCGATTCATACCCGATGCATACCCCGAGTCATACGCATTCTCAGCGATCTGCAGCCAAGAGCCTCTTGCGCTCTGAGCGCAATCGTGAAGCTACACGCACCAGATCTTCAGAAGCTAGGCAAACAAAGGGGAGGACTGCAGAACGACGCCGCCCTTTTCGGAGAGAGGATCGGTCCGGAAGGCTTGCGCCGGCGTTCGAACCCTTGTAAGCTGCACCCTTCAAAAGTGAATTGTTTCGCTCTGCTTGTGAAGTCGGGGGGCGCTTCAAAGAGCGGCCTGTGCTCGAAGGCGTGGCGAGCAAGATGCCATCCTTTCATTGGCGGGCGTGCCAAAGCAAGCAAGTTCTTGTCAGCGCCTGGAAGGAAGCTCTGGGGCCTGCAAGGAGGAACTGCTAAGCGAAAACAGGGTTTGGCCGTTGTCTGAGCTGGTCCGCAGAGCATGCCCTGGCAACTGGTGAGGCGTCAGGCTTCACGGCTGTTTAGCCTGACGCAGCCGTCTAGTTCACCCCGTTCTTGGCAGCGTCAGAAACTAGCTGTGGCAACTGAGCGGTTCGGTTTCTTGCGGCTATCTGCTTGGCAGCGTAAACGAGAGTTGCAGCGCCCAAGGCAACAAAACAAGAATTAAGAGCCGCGCGAGCCATACCGCGAACCATACCCTCGAGTCGTACCCCGAGCCATGCCTGCGATTCATACCTCCTATACCAACTTCCCGGGGCGGCGCGTCAAAACTAGACCACGGTTGGCCCGAAAGCATAACATCGCAAGCGAGGTCGGCCCAATGCTGCAGGATGCGTTCTTTTTCCCTCCGCGAAGCATTTGTGAAGCAAGCGCGAGACAGCACCAGGCAAGGTGCTCTGCGCAAACTGGTCGGTGCAAGTTGGTCTTCGCAAGTTGCTCTACGCAAGTTGCTCTGCGCAAGTTGCTCTGCGCAAGTTGCTCCGCGCAAGTTGCTCCGGCAAGTTGGTCCCTGCAAGTGGCTCCCTGCAAGTTGCTCTGTGCAAATTGCGCTCCCTGCAAGTTGCTCTGTGCAAGCTGCTCTGTGCAAGTTGCTCTGTGCAAGTTGCTCTGCGTAAGTTGCTCTGCGCAAGTTGCTCTAGGCAAGGCGCTCTGCGCAAACTGGTCGGTGCAAGTTGGTCTGCGCAAGTTGCTCTGTGCAACTTGCTCTGCGCAAGTTGCTCTGCGCAAGTTGCTTTAAAATGCAAGTTGCATCTTGCGACGCCGACCCGCGGACCAGGGAGGAATCGAACCCGCGACCCGCCGGTTCCGGGAGCAGGCGCGCGACAACTCCCGAGGACCAGTTCGAACAACAAGTCGCAAAAAACCTCGAGTTGTTGCACGCCGATTCCCGCAGAGGGTTGCGCGAGCACCGCAGAAATCGCAAAAAACACCTTGAGTTTTTGCATCTTTAGAAATCGCAAAAAACCATAGGTTTTTGCACCTCGACCACGCCGATCCCCGCAGAGGGTCGCGCGAGCATGTTAGAAATCGCAAAAAACCTCGAGTTTTTGCACCTCGACCACGCCGATCCCCGCAGAGGGTTGATTTTCGTGTAGTGTCGTCGGCACTACCCCGCCGCCCTAAGAAGAGATTTTAACTCCTCGCAAGTCAACTGCACTTGGCTCCTTGCACTTGCAACTTGCACTTGACTCCCCGCACTTGCAACTTGCACTTTGACTCCATGCACTTGCAACTTGCGCTTGACTCCTTGCACTTGCAACTTGCACTATGACTCCTTGCAATGACTCCTTGCAATGACTCCTTGCAATGACTCCTTGCAATGACTCCTTGCAATGACTCCTGCAATGACTCCTGCAATGACTCCTTGCAATGACTCCTTGCAATGACTCCTTGCAATGACTCCTTGCAATGACTCCTTGCAATGACTCCTTGCAATGACTCCTTGCAATGACTCCTTGCAATGACTCCTTGCATTGACTTTCATGATGATGATTCCTTGCAATGACACCTTGTAATGACTCACATGAGAACAACTCAAGTGAACCCAGCGGAAGAACCCTTCGCCATGCTTTCGGGAAAAAAACATTATGTGCCACCAGTTGGTGTTTACTGCTTTTGGATTGTTGAGTTTGCAACTGGTTTTGTCCAGTTGCTTTGTTTCGCACATTTGGTTCAACATTTGTTAGACACACACACATATATATATGAGCCACGGACAAAACACGCGTAGACCACTTTATCAAGACGGGGCACGCTTTTGAGTAACACATCCCAAAACCATGGAAAACGATGAGGTCTCCCCCAAAAACGATGACCCTTAACGAACACACGGCTCTGTAAATACGACACTTGTACTGAGAAGTTGCGATTTTCGAGCTGGAGATGCGGAAGTGTACTTCGCGTACAGCCTAGGCTTGTACTACAAAGCTGCGATTTTCGAGCTGGAGCTGCGGAAGTGTTCTTCGCGTACTAGACTTGTACTACAAAGTTGCGAATTTCGAGCTGGAGCTGCGGAAGTGTACTTCGCGTACTAGACTTGTACTACAAAGTTGCGATTTTCGAGCTGCAGAGGCGGAAGTGTACTTCGCGTACTAGACTTGCACTACAAAGTTGCGATTTTCGAGCTGGAGATGCGGAAGTGTACTTCGCTTACTAGACTTGTACTACAAAGTTGCGATTTTCGAGCTGGAGCTGCGGAAGTGTTCTTCGCGTACTAGACTTGTACTGCAAAGTTGCGACTTTCGAGCTGGAGCTGCGGAAGTGTACTTCGCGTACTAGACTTGTACTACAAAGTTACGATTTTCGAGCTGAAGATGCGGAAGTGTACTTCGTGTACTAGACTTGTACTACAAAGTTGCGATTTTCGAGCTGGAGATGCGGAAGTGTACTTCGCGTACTAGACTTGTATTACAAAGTTGCGATTTTCGAGCTGGAGCTGCGGAAGTGTACTTCGCGTACTAGACTTGTACTACAAAGTTGCGATTTTCGAGCTGGAGATGCGGAAGTGTACTTCGCGTACTAGACTTGTACTACAAAGTTGCGATTTTCGAGCTGGAGATGCGGAAGTGTACTTCGCGTACTAGACTTGTACTACAAAGTTGCGATTTTCGAGCTGGAGCTGCGGAAGTGTACTTCGCGTACTAGACTTGTACTACAAAGTTGCGATTTTCGAGCTGGAGATGCGGAAGTGTACTTCGCGTACTAGACTTGTACTACAAAGTTGCGATTTTCGAGCTGGAATGCGGAAGTGTACTTCGCGTACTAGACTTGTACTTCAAAGTTGCGATTTTCGAGCTTGCGACTTCGACTTTACAAATGCGATTTCGAGCTGCGGAAGAATGTACTAGACTTGTACTACAAAGTTTGCGATGACGAGAGCTGCGGAAGTGTACTTCGCGTACTAGACTTGTACTACAAAGTTGCGATTTTCGAGCTGGAGCTGCGGAAGTGTACTTCGCGTACTAGACTTGTACTACAAAGTTGCGATTTTCGAGCTGGAGCTGCGGAAGTGTACTTCGCGTACTAGACTTGTACTACAAAGTTGCGATTTTCGAGCTGGAGATGCGGAAGTGTACTTCCGTACTAGACTTGTACTACAAAGTTGCGATTTTCGAGCTGGAGCTGCGGAAGTGTACTTCGCGTACTAGACTTGTACTACAAAGTTGCGATTTTCGAGCTGGAGATGCGGAAGTGTACTTCGCGTACTAGACTTGTACTACAAAGTTGCGATTTTCGAGCTGGAAGATGCGGAAGTGTACTTCGCGTACTAGACTTGTACTACAAAGTTACGATTTTCGATCTGAAGATGCGGAAGTGTACTTCGCGTACTAGACTTGTACTACAAAGTTGCGAATTTCGAGCTGGAGATGCGGAAGTGTACTTCGCGTACTAGACTTGTATTACAAAGTTGCGATTTTCGAGCTGGAGCTGCGGAAGTGTACTTCGCGTACTAGACTTGTACTACAAAGTTGCGATTTTCGAGCTGGAGCTGCGGAAGTGTACTTCGCGTACTAGACTTGTACTACAAAGTTGCGATTTTCGAGCTGGAGCTGCGGAAGTGTACTTCGCGTACTAGACTTGTACTACAAAGTTGCGATTTTCGAGCTGGAGATGCGGAAGT